TATTATCAATAATATTTATATTCTTTTTTAATATTTATTAATTTATTTACATCAATAAATAGTCATCACCTTTTTACTTCTTTTAATATTAATTGGATCTTTAACACTAATCTAATATAAGCAGCTTAATTTTAAAGCTTAAAATGTATTTACTCTTAACTAGACTTATACACTACATTTATAAATCTATGTTTTACTTTTATTACCTATTCAACTAAAAGATAATGACTAGAATAATCCTATTTTTATAGTTATTTAATCTAATCAATTATAATATATATGCTCAGTAAAATTAATTAATAGATAATGATATAATTTATGTTTAACATTATCTAATAAAAAAATTTGATATAAATATTTCATAAAAATATTAAGTTTTATAATATATCATTTTTAATTTTAGTATATAATATATATTTTTTCTTTAAGTAAAAACCTTAAACTTAATATAGAAGAATAAGAAAAAATGTATATAAAAAATATGGATAAAATATATATTTTATAATGCTTTAATAAATGTAAAAAATATAAATAAAATATATATTATATAATTATTTAACAGATATAAAAATCATAGATAAAATGTATATTTTATAATGCTTTAACAAATGCAAAAATCACAGATAAAAAGTATATTTTATAATGTTTTAATTAAGTAATTTAAATTTTATTGATATTTTAAAAAAATAGAAAATAAAAAAATTTAAAATATTAATATTTTTTAAATTCTTTCTTCTTATGCTTTTTGTTCTTTTTTGCAATATTTTTTTTTTAATATAAATTCAAAATAAATATAAGAAATGAGTATTATAAATATTTGTAAAAAAAGATAAATTTCTTATTTTATTTATTTATATTAATTAAATTTTACGTTAGAATTAGAAATAATATTAAAAGTAATATTAGTATTAGTTTTATTAGTTTAATTATTGATATTTGGTTTTCACTTTCATTTTTTTTTATTTTAATATTAATTAACATAAAATTAAATTTAAAGAATTTTTATTATCATGTATTAAAAATAAAAATTTAAAAATTACCTAAATAATCTCTTGAAAGTCTTGCTTTCTTATTAATATTAAAATTAGCATTGACTTTAGTATTGACTTTAATTTTGATATTAGCTTTAGTTTAGTATTATTTTAATATTAGTATTAGTTTTAGTATTGGTTTTAACATTAACACTAATATTGGTTTTGATAATACTGGTATTGATGATAATATTAGTATTAGTGCAGATATTAGCTTTAATGATACTAGTATTAGTGATAGTATTAGTATTAATATTAGTATTAGTATTAGCTTTAATGACATTTTCTTTTTTAATAAATAAATAAAATTTAGATATTTTATTTAGATTCTAATCAGAATATTAGAAAAATAAAATTTTTGATATTTAATATTTTATTGAAGTTACTTATCTTTGCAAATATTATAATCACAAATATTTTTTTATATATTTTTTTATTAGCCAACTATTTTCTCTAATTTGTATATTTTATTTCTTTTTTTTGAACTATTAGAAAAATTTAAAATAATTTTTAATTATAAATAATTATATATAATATACTTTTTCAATATAGCTTATATATTAATCTTTATATTTAATAGTAAAATCAATTTTTAAAACTTAAAATACAAAAGCATACTTCTGATTTGAAAAGAGATAAAATTAATAAATTAATAATATATTATTTTTAATATTTATAAAATTCTTACTAATATATTATTAAATTTATTCTTTGATATTTTAAATATTTTTAATCTTTTAATATTATAATTAACCTTCTCTAAATGTACCCCTCAGAACTATAGTAAAAAATTTAAAAAATATGTATTTAAAGAGGGTGTACATTTAAAGAGAAAATTTTTATATAAATTCTATATACTTAGTACTGAATAAGAACGTGCATTTAGAAAGAAAATGTATAGTATGTGTATTTAGAGAGAGTTGAACTAATATATCATAAATTAGTTTTAAGATACAAATATTATTATTTAAAATAGAAATATTATTGTTTTGAATAATTTCTTCAAGAAAATTTTGTATTTAATTAAGTTTTTCTTATAATTCCATTGTAAATAACAGTGTAAAAAATTTATAAAAAATAACAAAAAAAACATAAAAAATAGTATAAAAAAAAGCAAAAAAGTAACGTAATCATAATATAAAAATTTATTATATATATAGATCTAATATTGTTTTTCTTTACATCTTTTGAAAATAATTACATGAATTTTGAAAATTTACCTACATAATAACTTATATGATAATCTATATGATAGTATATGCAATTAAAAATTTATTCTATTTTATATTTATCAGTAATGCTATCTTAATAGAAAATAATCAAAATTTTAATCAGATTAAAATCAACATTAATTAGAATTAAATAATAGAAAATAATAGAAAATATCAGGTTAAATTAAAGATAAAACAAAATTTTAATTAATAATCTTTTGATCATTAATAATTTATATTTTTAAACTAAAATTAAATAATTAAAAATTTATCAAAAATCAAATATCGATTTATTATACATCACATTATCAAAAAATCTAAAAAAATCAAGATTTGTTTTTTTAAAGTAAATTTAATTATGTAAAAGTTCTATTATATTACATTATCAAAAAATCAAAATTTATTTTTAAAAATAATCAGACTTATTTCTTCTTAAAATAAATTTGATTATGTAAAAGTTCTTATTGTACATCTATGTATTGCATTATCAAAAAATCAAATTTATTTTTAAAATAATTAGATTTGTTTCTTCTCAAAATAAATCTGATTATGCAAAATTTCTCATTATAAATCTATGCATTATATATCAAAAAATCAAAATTTATTTTAAAATAATTAGGACTTATTTTTTCTTAAAATAAAGCTGATCATGCAAAAATATTAATTATAAATCTATTTATCATATTATTTTAGCTTATTTCTTCTTAAAATAAATCTGATTATGTAAAAATACTAATCATAAATTTATATATTACATTATTAAAAAATCAAAAATTTATTTTTAAAAAAAATCAAAGATTTATTTCTTTTATAGAAATTTATCAATTAAGTAATTTCTTTCTTTAATATATTTTTTAATTACATTTAATTATATCAATATAAAATTATTCTAATTTCATATAAGTATTTTTCAGCCTTTAGATTTTCTTGATAAAAGATTTAAATATTTTTTAATTTCTTAAAATTTTATTTAAAAGAAGAAATAATTTTTCCTTTTTTTTAAAAAACAAAAAATTTTAAATATATCGAATAAAAACTTTAGACCAAATAAAGATCAAAATGAAACACTAAATTTTTTTTAAAAGAAATTATTAATATATATCATGAAACTCTTAAATTTAATTATAAAACACATAAAAATATATTAAATGTCTTTTTAAAATATTACTATTTCTATTATTATTAAAATTTCTAATACTATTACAATTATATTCTTTATAATTATTTTATTTACATTCTTTACAATTAATTAAACCTTTATTTTTACCTTCCATTTTATCACTATTACTATCATTATCACTATCACTATCATCAATATCAATAGTAATAAGTGCAACATTACTACTATAACCATCATAATCATCATAACCATCACAATCATTATAACTATCATTATCATTATTATCACTATTATAATTATGATCATCACTACTAGTATAATCAAATCAATCAACAAAATAAATAATATTTTAATAAATTTATATTATCATTTTTAATTTTTAATTATTTCTAATCATTTTGAAATAATTATAATTTATTAAATACTTGTTATTATTGTAATAGGTTAAATTATTAAATTAGTCAATATCCTGATATCCTATAAAATATCAAAATTATTGTTTTAAATTTTGATTAATAAGTGATCATATAGCAAAAATTATCTATCTTTTAATAAGAGATCACTATAAAAGTAAGAATTTAAAATCAATAATAAAATGTTTATTTAATATGAATTTTTTTAAAAAATTAAAAATTAAAAAAGTTTTATATTTTAGCTAAAAATAACACTAATACTAAAGCTAAAGCTAACACTAAAACTAACACTAAAGCCAAAGTAATGCAATACTAACACTAAAGCCAAAGTAATACAATACTAACACTAATGCCACTACTAAAAAATTATATTATTGTCAAAAGCTAAAGCTAAAACTAAAAAAAAGAAAAAGCTAATGCTAATACTAATGTCATCATCAAAGCCAATGTCATCTACCAATGCCAATACCATTTGTTAATACTAATAACACTAAAAAAAAACTATTATTTTTTTAATTTTCTTTCTAAATCATTTTTTTTTTATTATTTTATAAAAACTATAAAGAAAGTTTCAAAATGTCTAAATTTACTATTTAGAATGCTTAAAAAAGAATCCAAAATTGCAAATAGTATTTATAAATCATTCTAAAAGTTTAATTATCTGAACTGAGCAATGCATTTTGATTGGTGGATTTTGCTAGGATTTATCCCGAATTTAAATAAATGCTTAATGTTTAAGATCAACCAACCATGCAGGATCTACAAAATTGCAATGAATTTAGATTAGAATGTATCCACGATCGAAAATTTCGTTCTGAAGGATCTAGGGATTTAATAATTTTTTGGAGGCGTTGGGACTAGGATTATTTGATTGGTCGTATGGAAGATCGTTTAGACGCAATTTAGAAAGGAAATTTTTTGACATGACGATTGATTTTTCCATATTTGCGATAGGTGTCATATTTTTTTTCTAAGCGTGAAAACGACAATGTTTTTTAATACTTGTGATCATTAAAAAATTTAGGATTGGCTGTTAATGTTTTGCGATCAAACAAGCCGATTAAACTGGTTTAACAGGTTTTTTGCAAAAAAGGGGGCGTAATCTGTCACACGTTTTTAGAAAAACTTAAAATTTATTTATTTTTTTATTTTTTTTTTTTTTTTTTTTTTTTTTTTTTTTTTTTTTTCATTAATTCCCATTTCACATAATTTTTTTTTCTTAATTATGAACGCAAAGCAAAAATCAAATCCTGAACTTAATAAGGATGACTTTTTTCATTTGACTTCATATATTTGGATAGTCAAAGATTTTCAAGATGTTTACTCACACATGGAAACGTCTCAATTCATTTTAAGCGAAAGGTTTTATTCACCATCAACACCATTAACTAAAGAAGGTCAAGAGAAAAAGGATGATAATATTTGGAGATTTTTATTGTACCCGCGAGGAAAAGTTGGAGTTCCCAAAGAACACATGTCACTATTTTTATTTCCACTTCCAAATGAATACGATAAGCAACGACGAATATTTTATCGACAAGCGATATATCGAATCGAAATATTTGTGAACAACAACGAAACATGTACGAATATTTCATCCGTGGACCCTAAATATAAGGATAAGATATATAATCATATCACTAGAATAAATAATAAATATAACAGATGTGGAGAGTATGATTTTTGCGAGATCAAGAATATTTTTCCCGATGATTGTAATAAAATGGAGAAAACTGATCTGATTTTCAAGATTCATTTCTATTATGATAGGGAAAATACAATAGAAATATGTTCACCCGAAAATAACCCTAATGAATCAATAATACCCTCATCCTCATTTGAAAATTATTTTAATGATGATAGTTTTAGTGATATTACATTTAAATTTAATTGTGGATCCGAAATCAGGGCGAGTCGACTTGTCCTTGCAATGAAATCATCATATTTTAAGGCTTTGTTTCAAGGAAATTGGAAAGAATCAAAATCACCGGTCATTTCAATTAAAGATGTAAATTTTGAGTGTTTCAAAAGGATGATTTATTTTTTATATAGTGGAAGACTTGATAATGAGTTATCATTTGAAGAATTAAAGGATTTATATATTGAAGCAGATGTTAGAGATATCTCGGATTTAAAAAGGGAGGGATCCAAAAGGATTGTTAGGCTCGTTGATGAAACTTCTTGGGATGAAATATTATTGATGGGTTGGCAAACGAAAAATTTGGAAATGAAGGAAGCAGGGTTGAAATATTTTAGTGAAAATTGGATGAACATCAAAAATTCAGACAAGATGAATAATATCATTTCTAATGCAAATTTTGATTGGCTTGATGAATTGTTTAGGGCAAAACTATTTGGTGTGTAAATAAAGATGTTAAAGAATTTTAGTCCAAATTCGGACATACTGATCTACAATCTACGTGTCCGTAAATAAACCCTATAACCTGGCGTCAGGCTTACGTGATGATATTCGTGATGATATTCGCTGTGCTTGCGTAACACAACGCGAGTATAAAACAAAAAAATAAAAAGGTTTTTATAAATTACAAATCTTGCGAGAAAGTAATTTCTTTTGCTTTCAGATGGCTTTTTATTTAATAAATCGAATAAAAACGTTTAGAACTTTCCATAGAGGTAGTTAATCATTTATAGATTTTGTAATAACAAATCCCGTTCATAGTATCCTCATCTTTTAGACTTTCCTTTCTTTTTCATCATCATCTTTATTTTCAGTATGAGTTTCCGTCCATCTACAAGACAATAACATTTCCAAAATCTATCAACACTAGTTTCTTAAGCAATTTCATTATCATCATCCTCATCATCATCCTTATCATCGTCATCATCGTCATCATAATTCATCACCCGTCAACACAGTGACATGTTAATCCTTTGCGTTGCTCTTTAAAAGTTTCTTCCCTTTGTTCAAATATTCTTGAGTGACCAACATAATAAATATATGCTGGATCATTTTCCGTAAGAGAAATTTAGATATTTTGCATAAAAACCAGTCACGATAGTAAGTAAATAAATTGGAGTAGAAACTTCACAAAAATAAGGCTTCAATAGATTTTTATAAAAGTTACAATCCTACCGCACCACACAGTTGTAGTTAAGAATTAATACCTTATTTGTTTATTGAAAATTTGTTCGATAATTCAACTAAAATTTGTCTAGTTGCCAGAATCCCGATTTGTTGGCGTTTGTCAAATTATCTAGAGAACTTTGATCATCAGTCAGGCTATGGTATTTGAAAAATCTGGAGCCTTCTCTGCTTGCTTTTTTACAGAGTCGACTTAAGCCGTTGACTCCGTTGGTATCACTATCACACTCAATATTGTTCAAAATTTCGACTTTTCATATTAAATTTTTTTTATTTTTTTTTTTAATATTAAATAATGATATGATTTGTTAAATCTATTAGAATTCATCACATTGATCCAGTCAGAAAAGTTGAAGAAAGTGAGAGAAGATGCTGAATAATTGCTAAAAATTGAAATCGTAAAATTTCAAAAAATCTATTTCATATACTTGAATATTCTATAAATAAAGATAATTCCAATAATAAATAAAAAATATTTTGACTTTGGACTTGCATTAATAATATAC